TTTGTCTTTGAAATTAATTCCTAATTAGTTTCTAGAGTGTCAAAGAATAATCTGTTATGGAAAATGCAGCCTCAACTTGCAGAAACACAGGAACAAGTTATACGAAAAATAAACCACACCACTTACCATAAACAACTTCAGCAGCAATTAACTCCTTCCCTTAATTAGCAGCAATTAACTCCCTTTGCAGTTTGACTTTCAGTAGGTAAATGTCTTCTTGCCGTTTCATTTCTCTTTTGCCTTGTCTGATGATGTCTGCTGACATGTCTCCATCAACAGGTAATTGCTGCACAGCTATTCTGTGCAGGAAAGAAGAGTTTCCTGCAAAGTTTTTTGCATTACTATAAAGAAGATGCAAAACCATAGTATGACGCGTGTGCGGGTAGGAAAGGTATGAAACCTTTGATTTCTTACCTCTAAGCAACTTAGCAGTGTGTTCCACTGGCCTCTTGTGTTCTCCAGAACGACAGCAGTCTGTTCTCCAGACTTCAGGTGTCTTCTGGGAAAACAGTCTCCAGGCCCTTGGCAAAAAGATTAGTCCAGCACTCATACTTTTTTTCTTCTTTAGCAGTAGGGAAGACTGTCCCTGAATGTTGGGACAAAGAGATGATGGTATTGTGTGTTATTGCACAGAGGCATTGGCCTCACATCATTTCTCCCTTAGTGATATGAGACCAAGGCTGGCGTGCAGGAGGAACTGCTGGCAGTATCTTTCCTGCCAGAAATGGGATCCCTGTTTTGCACTTCATGTATATGCCCAACTGTCACAGGAGGAATTCTCAGTAGAAACCTTAGGCAAATGAAGGTTTTCATTATTTTTTTTCAAGCTCAGAATTTCTCTTTCCAGTATCAGAGAACAGTTATTTCCTTCTCTTTGGAGAGTCAGTTTATCTGGAGTTTTAGGTGAATAGTTTAAAGCAGCTGTGTCGTTGCTCTTCCCTTTTTGACTAAATCAAGCAGCAACAAGTCCTGCATAGAAGGGTTTGCTGAAGCTCAATAGCACATCACTTTATTTCATGGCTTTTCTTTTTCTTTCCCTCTTTTTTTTTCCCCAATAAGCAGAGATAGTATAAAAAATGTGTGAAGAACTGATATCAGTGTAAGATGTGGGGATTAATATATCTACACTACTGAAAGTATTCATAAAAACTTTTTAAAAATTTTTTGCTAACAGGTGTGTAGTTAGTACTTGTGTGCTCCTCTGCAGAAAACATGCTATGCTATCAAAAGAAAATCGAAGGGGTTTGCCAGTTGCCTTGCTCCTCTCCAAATGGTGCCAGCCTCTCTCCTGCTGCTGATCTCAGGGGACCATACCCACAAGGCAGTGCTGTGTCACACAGGTAGGGTGGTAGCTGAACAAAGACAGATGCTGGCAGACACAAGCATCATCCCCCACCCTCAGAGGTGCTGCCCTATACAGTCTCATCCTCATTTTTCCTCCATTAAGCTCCTTCTCAATCAAAAGGCAGTAGGTGTTTAAGAAGTTAAAGGCCTGCAGTATTATCATGGCTGGGCTTTGTGAATGAAGATTTGGGAAGGGCTCTACCCACGTTTGTCACAAGCGCACTGGTGGCTAAAAAGGCCAATACGAGACAGGCATGTCCGATTGCAAAAGGCACAGTAGAAAGACTCCTTAGGTGGTAAATTCTGCAAGGCAGGATTCTTTCTGCATTGCCTTTTCTCCTCAAGAGTGATCCTGCGTGCTTTCTCAAAAGCATCAGCAGCGCTATAGATGGTGTGTCGCCAGACCTTCCGGTTGGAGGCCAGAGTAGACCAGTTATGATGATCAATATGGCCAAGGCTGAGATGTTGTTTCAGGGAGTCCTTGTATCTTCTCCTTGGGGCTCCTTTCTTGCAGCAGCCAGTGGCAAGTTCACCATAAAGCAAGATCTTAGGGAGGCAGTGATCTTTCATCCTTGAGACGTACCCTGCCCAGCGCAGCTGTGTTCTCAGCAACATGGCCTCAATACTTGTGACTGCTGCTTGTTCTAGAACAGATATGTTACTTACATAATCTGACCAATGGATGTTTAGGATTGTATGGAGACAGCGTTGATGGAACCGTTAGAACTGCAGTATTATTAATGTGGAAAAGCCCATGACACATTCAAAGGAATTCCTCTTGCCTATGTAAATGTTTTATGGCTAGCAGAGGGCAGAGACTGGATTCCCTAGAAATGTAGCCTTCTTGTAGTACTGTTGGTTCAGCCTTTATGCTTGGCAATCATGATTAAATAGAAGTAGAGATCCAGACACTCAGGATCCATTTCTGAAACTTTTACTTGGTTCTAGTATCATTACAGACTTTGCTTTTTCCAGTATTTTTATACTACGTGTGGCAAACTGATAAAATAGCTATAAAATGACAACATTTAAGTATGTGCTATACTATGTTTGCCAGATAGGAGACCAAAGCCATCTAATCTGGTTTTATGGTCAAGAGCTCTTTTGAACTAAAGTTGCCCAAGTAAGGGATCTCTCATACTGACATCTACAACAGCTGTACTGAGAGGACCTCACCTGGAGTTAAGACACCTCGATTTTGGTCCAGGCAGATTTGACTGATCCTGACTATTTTTTATTATAGAAGGATTAATGAATTATTTGATAATTATTTTTTTGACGAGGACAAAACTTACAGTGTATTAATCACATTATTAATGAAGTTATTGACACAACTTTTAGATGAATTTGGTATTAATTACTTATGTTACTTCTTTTTTTCCTGTTCATTGCAAATAAACTATTTCTAGAGGAACGTGGTGACTCAGAAGATCCTGCTTTTGGTTTATCTTAATTTTCATATTTTCATAATCCTGTGTGTACTCTGATAAACCTTACCCAAGACAGTTTGCACTCTGTACCACAGATAGATTTCCTTCCTAGTCAGACTGTTTTTCAAACTTTAATGTTTATGCATTCGAAAGGAGACTGAATTAAAATAAAAAATATAAATAAAACAATTTTTTTGATAAAGCCTTAATAGAAAGCTGAGACAATGTAAAACAAATGAGAGCTGTCAGAAATGAATTATTAGCATAGCAAGCTGAAAAGTTACTCAGCTAGTATGTGGGGGGCATGGGTTCAAATATCTGCTTATTTCATTTTCCCAGTGACTGTTCATGTTAAAGCAGCAATAGAAATGGCATTAGGGATTGATTAATAAGACATCTGAGAGGGTGAGAGCTCACATTCAACTCCCTGTTTTTAAAATATAAATTGCCTTTTCCTTTTGTTCCACACCTTGAATTAAAACAAATTCTTCAACAAAAAACATTGCCTATAAGTTGGAATTGTTTTTTTTAATTAAATGAAAACACTGAAATAAGTAGCCTACAGCTCTATCTTCCTTAAAATCTGTGTGTAAGCATTTGCATCCTTTATTGTACATGTTTTTAACATTTATGACAATATTTTGGCCCAGTATCTGTGCTGGTTACAACTATGTAGAGGGGCCATAACCAGTTTGTTTTCTCTGGTAGTTTTGATAGAAACGTAAGAATTTTAAAGTTCTGTGAAAACTGAGGATAGGAGACACTGTATTATATTTAGAGTAACTGCACTGTAAGGATTTTTTGAAAATCTGAGAATTCAGCATATCATCAAGGTAGAACACGTAAGGAAAAAATACAGCCATAATCATCTAGATAATAAAATCAATGTGTTCTGACAAGAGGAATGCCTCATGGCACTGTATTTGTTAGAAATACCAGCTAAAGCCATTTGCATACCTTCTGAATACAAGTGATCTAATTGTTGTAAAGTGGTAATAGAAATATGCCTGGAAGGATACTTAGCATTCTTTACAGGATTTAATCAAGATATAAGCATTTAGCAGAGAAGGTTTCTTCGTAAATACTGCATAATACTCACATGCAAATATTGATATTTTCTCAAATATCATATTCTATGTATATTATCTTCAAGGCCTTCAGAAGCTACTGTTATTCCAAAACATACCATTTTTCTTTGTGGGAATACATGAATAGGATCTTCTTCTTCTTGCCTGAGAGTCATGATCACAGCATTGGTAATTTCAGGAAACTGTGAATACACTTCATGCACTAAAATTGGATATGTGTTTATGTAAGTGTTTGGCACGTACAAATAAGCAAGACATACTGTTTTATCACAGGCTTCACTGGAAATTGCTAACTATCCAAGGACACTGTCAAACTGAACTTATATTCATTTCTGTAATTTTCCTTTGATAGAAATTTAGGCCTGTACTGTTCTGCCAACAATTTCTAAAAGCATATAACTTGTAGAAGTAGCTGATAGCTGTAGAAGAACACAAGAACCCTAGGGAAGACATGGATATGTATTAAAATGAGATGAACATGTTCCTGCACATATACTATTTATTAGACACCTGTATAGCAAACAATTTAATTGATCTGTTCAGAAAAATAGTTACAGAGTGTGAGAATGAGCTGGGACACTCAGCTCTCAGGCTCAGGTGCAAGGCTTCATTTAAATTTTATTTAATACAGAGGCATCTTTTGTAGCTTCATAAATAACCTCTATTAAACATATGCTTTCCCTCTTTTGTTAATTATTTCAATTTTGAGGCTGTCTTCTGTGCCTGAAGTTTTTGCTCTAGAATTCATGGCTCCCATATTCCCTTGTGCTGGGATTATGCTGTTTCACTGTGCAGCCATGATGAGCAGAACTATTAATAGCTCTCTCCCTTGTGCTGCACTTGCTGGGCAGCTTGTGAACAGCCAGAAGAAGTGCAGCAACTCAGCACTACACATCCTTCTGCTACAGCCTTTTACCATTTCTCTGTTACTCAACATACTTAATTACACAGTGCATTTACTGTGCTCTTCCACATACCTGGTGGGGCCTCAAAAGAAGAGGCATACCACTCTGAAGAACACCTGTGGAAATTCAAAGCCCCACTCCCACATTTAGTTGCTACACCTACCTGTAGCAAAATGCTTATTTTACAAAACAATTATTATCTTTTTCTTACCTGCAACTGGGGCTGTTGCCAGGTATAGTCAGAACTGGCAATAAGCTCTCAGGAGCAGCTAAACATCCAGGACCTTGTTCTTCCTGCAACTCAGACACCCTGCAAAGCCAGAGCCACTCCTGCTTTACTCAGGTAAAGGACTAAAGTGGCAGCCTTCCTCTAGTGCTTCCCAGCAGCAATCACAACCTCTCTCAGACCCTCACGTTGACAGGAGACACAGAAGGCTCATCTGCTCTGGAGTTCCCCAGAACCTTACTGTCCAGAGCAGTCTTGGCCTGCTGCTGTAGGACCCCTTGGTTTTGGTCATCCTGCCCAGCCCATCCTCTTTCTCCTCATGTGGTGGTTGAATCTGCCCTGTAACTAGAATCCTATGTTGCCTACCTGCTTAAAAACACCTGATCTGTATCTACTGCTGACCTGACTCTTTCTGGGTCTTCCCTTTTTGTTGTGCCAGCTCTGGCTTTGCAGGCCAACGTACACATATTTGTCTCAAGCAAAAACATCATGTCCCACACACATTGAGAGCTAAAATACATGTTTTCAGTCTTTCCTCGAGTGAACCTCAGCATGCAGCCTGCTGGTGCTTAGTGCCAGAAAAGAGAGTTTACAAATCACTTTTTGATGTATTCAAAGTCCTACACCATCCACCAAGACACAGGCAGAAATTGTTAATGCCAGGTCTCAATGCAGGCAGTAAATGATTCTGTGTTTTTGATTTACAAATGTGAGAAATGAGGCACCAGTGAATCGAACCAAACCAGACACCTTTTATAACTTATTTTGAATTAATATCCTTCTCTTCTTCCCCTCCTACTCATGTTAGGTTCTTACTGCTGTTCATTTACAATGTTCAGCATATAATAAATGTGAGTAGCTTCAGAAAAAGAGCTGATGCTGCTCACTGTTCTCCACTTTGGGGAGAGAAAGGGATTTTGTGTGCGGGACTGTGTGGGAAAATTCAGGGATGGTTTCAAGACTGTTAATTTCTTTCCTATTCTTATTCAAAGATTTTCTATTCACTAGGGAAATATTCAATTAGGAAACTCCTATGGAGCAGAGGGGGAACCCAGCAGGCGAGGAGTCAAAATTTCTGCAATCAGCACTGATAAAGGACTGTTATTTTGACAAATGGGATAAAAATAAAAAGCATAAAAGGCTGCAGCAGGAGGCCTGAAACAGACACTGAGCACTCTCCTTACTCAGCGAGGATGTGTTTGCCATGGTAAGTCATGCATGATAGTCTGAGGTGATATTCTCTTATTTGTTACTGGTTTTTTCTTATTAGCAGTTACTGTAGTTTGAAATATGTTAATGTTCTGTGAGTGAAATGCTTTCAAGACTTTGAGTGCAGAATTTTGATTCATTTCACAGGCCTTCTGTTTTAGAAGAGTGACAAATGGGTCTGTTTGTGTTTCAATGTCTGCTCAGGTCTAAAAGAGAGTACAAACCAGATAGAGAAGGTGTAGGCTCAGTTCAGCACACGTTGACAGATGTTTCATGGGCCTGATCTTTCTTTGTCTGATGCATCAGGGGTCTACAGGACATCATATCTGACATTTGACTCTCTACTCTCTACTCTGTACTGTATTTCAGAGCATGTAGGATGGCAAACAGGCTGCCCAAAGCTGTTTCCTGTGGCTCATTGAAGCATGATAACTGGGGAAGCACATTTCTGGAATGTTATAAAGCCACACTCAGCAAGATCATCACTTTGCAGCACTGGCCCTGCAACATGTAAACCTAGTAACATCTGCCACAGAAGAGGAATTGTACATGCCCTCAGAGTTTTTATAAACCAACTCAGACTAACCCTGTATACATACAGAGAGCAATGGAGAAAAGCCAGGAGGGTGGATGTAGTGAGCTACATCTGAGACATTTGCAGCTATTAGCATGCTGAAGTAAATTGGATTAATTTCTCAGCCATAAATTCTCAAAAGTTGAGTCCGGATAATTAAATAAAATGCAGTCCCATCTTTACCCATTTTTTTTAGGAAGGCCATATACTTCTAATGCTTAGGACATCAGAGAATCCTATAGCTGCATTTCTTGCTTCACTTGTGCTGTGCTGTGATGTCTGATAAACCTATTCAGCTCTCATTGTTGAGGTTTGTTATCTGTGAAGCAGGATTAAAATACTTGCTACCATCCCCTGAAGCACATGATGGATGTATACACCTCAGGATGGAGACAATGATGAATTGTCTTTGTGAGCCAATTTAGAACTGAAACAGCTTCATGTGGACTTACTATGCTCAGTAACATCAGAGTAGTATCAATACAAGCAAAGACTGTCCTAATCTGCAGAATCAAATTGTTTGGAAAACACTAGATTTTTCCAGTCAATGTGAGTGCCTTTTAAAACTTCCCACAAACATTTTAATCCTAAAGAAGTTAGTGACATGTTGATACTAGTCCACTTAGCAGACTGTGATACAATATTCATTACAAAGTGATCAAAACCAATCATACAGATATAATCTACTGAGGAGACAAAAGCCCTGAAAAACAATCAGAGATTAGCAGCTCTGCTATATATGGAGTATGATGATGACAAAAGCCAGCTAATTATTGCAGTTATGCCTCAATAATTTATAAAGTCAGCCATTTCCCTAAAAGATCTATAGATCTCTTTTGACTCCTCAGGGGAAGAACAGATGTATCAGAAATAAGTGTCTAGATTCTCCACAAAGGGATTCAAACGCATGTTTAATGCAGACCTCCAGTCCTTTGAGAGAGTAACTGAAAATTTAGATGGCTGTTTCAATGAGCATCCTGAATTTTAGGGTATGTCTCTGGGCTCCAAAAGGCTGACTGTGAAAACAGAATCTTTTGTGTCTCAAAATAGTTTTCCCTAATCCACTAATAAGGCATAGACCAAAATGATAATAATACCATATCATACAAATATGGCCTGAAATTTTCAGATCTGTTTAGTGTTTAAATATCCAGATATTTAAGTCTGACCTTTCAGAAGGTCGTTTTTTCTTGAAAATGTCTATCCTTATTCTATTCTTCACATCAAATTATAACTAGGTTTTTTGTTTGTTTTTTAACTAAAGGAAATCACAAACTGTTTCGAAGGGTAATGCAAAGATAAGCCAGTCTATAACATCTCTAGGTTTAATATGATTACACAATTTCACTTCATACTAAGCAGTCATCTTTGCTATCTTGGAAAGCAGGCAAGAATGTTCACTGAGCAGTTAACTGCCTCAGCTTTTAGGAGAATATTGAAACAATTAAAAGCATATACCAGTGTAATATGTGTGCAGACATTCAGGTGAATGCAGTCTGGGACCTTAAAGTGTTATAAAACTCCAAGAGGCAAAGGCATTAGATTTCAACAGTTTATCAGCAAGTTGCTTCCAGGCTCCACCTGATGCCATATTAGACTTTTTTTGTCTCGTGCCCCTTGTGTGCAGTGGGCTGATAACTGTACCTGCATATGATACTCCAAAGAGACATCAAGGATGCAAAGAATGAGCATTTACATAATTTTCTATGTGCAGTTAAGGCCCTTTGCAATGGTGTATGGTTTGTCATGGTACTTGTCCCCTCCTCCCCATCACTGCTCTTCAGCATGATAAGAAAAGGTCTCTCTGGCCAGTTTACACTTTTCTTTACCCTAGAGGCATCGTAGGTTTAGATAGGAAAAGATGTTCAAGATCACTGAGTCCAGGTGTTAATCCAGCACTCTCAAGTCCACCACTAAACCATATACCCCTGTGCTACATCTATTTGTCTGACTCCACTTCCCTGGGCAACCCATTCCAATTCTTGACAACCCTTTCAGTGAAGAAATGTTTCCTAATATCAAATCTAAACCTCACCATTACAGCCTGTTCACTGCTGGAAAGGAATTTATTAGCTTTGGATGAAGACACTTTCTTCAAAGTCAAAGTCATGAAGTTTTCACTGAGTTCATTAACTAAATTCCACCGATTTGGACCCAAGAAATTGTGGAACACTATTTATAGACCCATTTAATATTACCCTTTACCAGCTGGAAGTTCCCTTAGGAAATGGTGTTGTGGTTTAGGAATGGTACTCCCCAATTTAGTGTTCCCACTGAAATTCCAAACCATGCTGCCTCTTCCTCGTTCTCCCCCTCCCTTTCTCTCCCACCTGCAATGGGATGGAGAGAGAATTGGAGGCACAAAAGGTGAAGATCTCAGGTCAAGATAAGCAAGATAAGAACAATTTACTGGAAACAGCAATGAGATAAGAAAATGAACAGTAACAGCAACAATACTAATGACAGAGTGTACAAGAAAAGAAATGTTACTGTTCACCATGTAAACCCTCAAAAATAGACAATACCTGACTGCAGCCACTCTACCTCAACTGGAAGGAACCCCTTCTCCCCAGAAGGGAATCTCTTTCCCCAGCCCCCAGCAATGACATAAGGTGGTATAGAATAACCTCCGGGTCCTAGGCATGCCCCCTCCTGGCTATTGCAAAGATTAACCCTGTCCTGGTCAGAGCCAGGGCAGATGGACATCTTTCTATACTCTCGTGGAAGCCTCCTCTTCCTTTCCCACAGCAGGGAGTAAGAAATAAACTTCCTCTTTCAGTTGTTACATCTAAGGTATTACAAGAAAAAATACCTTTTTATCCTCTATGCTAAGAATACTGTATTTACATGAGAGAAAATAAGAATTTTAATTGTAAGTCTATTTTCCTACAACATCTAAGAGTATGTACATTATTTGTTGCTCAAAGAATTCAAGTGAGAAAAAAATTGTCATGATGGCTATGAGGAAGAGTATAAACTACTGAGATATGTGTGATGGGTGCAAGAATTTATGCTAACAAACAAAATATAGAGAGCCAGACAGCTTGAAAATTCAAAATTCTTAGTGAATGCAACAATACATCCTGTTAGTAAAAGAACTCACTAAGAAAAGGACTTCAGGTTAGGGAAAGCACCCTGAGGTGAAATGAACATCCACAGATTTCCCTTTTTTCAGCTCTGCTACAGCTCTCCTTTGATAATTTATTCCCACCCAGTCTCTAGCACATTGTGTCCAGTCATCCATACAAACAAACATAGACCAAACAAAAACCTATAATAAATTAATCTCATCATTTCTCCTGTCTCCAAGGAAGAAGAAAGGGGAGTAGCTGTTACCTCTATTTCAAAACACTTGGGTGAAAGCCACATAAGTATTTTAAGGTAAATAAGTGAAGTGCAGCTTCATTAAAGGAATGAAATTCTATTGAAGTGCGTGGGTGTGGTCCAGAATTTTGACTGCACACTGAGCAGAGTTTTGTTCAAAGTTTGCTGTAAGCAGCTTTTGCTGCAGCTAGCACAGGTATGCTTACACATTACTTCTTTTCTATCACAGTTAGCTGTCTCCTTTCTACCAAACACCATTAATAGCATTGATGTTCCACTGGTAAAAGAGGGTAAGTTGCTGGTCTCGAAGGATACCATACCATCCCATACTCTGAAAACCAATCTAGAGAAACAGAAAATGCAATTAGCACAAGCACAAAATAAAATAACTTATGTTTTTAGCATTTTCACACTGAAAAAAACCCAAAACCAAAACAGCAAAAACCAAATGAACACCAGTGAGAAAGGCAATTATAAAAGACCCCAAACAATATTTGTTGCAAATATTCAACTGAACAAATTTTTCAACGCAGCACTAATGAGAGGATCATTGTGGTCAGGGTTGTACCTTCACCTGGTTCTCAGGCATGCAAAAGCTGACTGTTTGACAACTGCAGCCTACTTAGCCCCTGCAGAGGAAGTATGAACACCTCATTATCAGAGATGGGAGATTTGCAAGAGGGAATCTTGGAGGGGATATACGTAATTAGACAAGACTCTTCTCTCTCTCCATCATCAGAAAGTGAGAATGGACTCAAGAATTTCTACCACAGGCAATGTGTTCTGAATGAAAAGCACCTAATGTGTATTTTATTGTGGTATTTTCTTCAGGAAATGAATGTGAAAGCCATTTTTGGCAGCCAGTCCTGCCTGTGCAGCCATTGCATAATCAAGGCCAGAAGCCCTAGGGACCTGACAGTCAGTGACTTTCAAAAAATCCCACTGTTTCACTGCAACTTACGGAGGATTTTTGTTACTTTTGCTCTGATTACTTTCCTAAGGAAAATCCCCTATAATTTTTCCATTGTTCATTATCTTGCTGTTTATTTTTTTCTAAACTTGGTTTAGAAAGTAGACATTCATTTTAAATAATTCAATTACTCCTATTGCTGTGCAGTTTGCCTTAAACTCCCTGGTTTTATGCCCAGAGCTACGCTCAGGGCAAGAGAAAACTTCTAATTATTTGGACAGTTTTGCTCTTTAATTATAGAAGATCTTTGGCTGGAATGACATTTTCAAGTAACGAGGAGAGGCTTGTTAAAGAAAGATAACAAAAAAACCCACAAAAGCCAAAAGCCTTAAATCTTTATGTATTCCTTGTTCTGATATAATGCTACCCATTATGATAGTGTTGAAGTAGATTAAAAGCCTGGGGGGTGGGAGGGAGAATAGATAACGTGGTGTATTAGGGAGTCTGAGAAGTACAGCTGCTGTCAATACTGATTTTTCTATTCTCTGAGCTCAGTGTCAGGATATCCTACGAACTGTTCTCAGTTTGTTTAATGTCCTTGAAGGTTTGGCTAAATCATTAAAAAATAGAATCATAGAGATCTGTGAAAATGGGATGGTGACTTACATTTTACATATCAGCTCTGCTCTCTTGTTTCTCATGCAAGGTGCTTGCATTTCCCAGGAAAATTCCCTACTGACTTACACTCTCCATCTGTTTAGCTGGCGTTTGGGCGTCCTTCCCTTCTTCTTCCTCTTCACACTCTTCAGTTTAACTCCCAGTGGCCTGCCATTGTCCATTCTGCTCCACCTTTGCAGTACCCTGCCTACTGTAACTTCCTTTGTACCAAGTCCATTCCAGGTCCTTTGCTCTTCCTCACAGTGTGTTTCGCAGGATGACAGCACTGTGCCCTAAAAAATCGTTCATTCCTTTTTCAATACAGGTGTAGGAAGTACTCCCAGCCTAAGCTTAGCACTTCCAGCATCACATCATCATCCTGCTTCTTAAACTGAAGATAGCACTGGAGAGAGAATCTCATCCTATGAAACAGTGAATTCTTTCATCAACTTCAGAATG